AAATGATAACATGATTTTCAGGGTTCTGTGTATCTTGAAGGACAATAAATGTATTTTGTTTCTCTGAACGTTTTATTGTCAGCATTTCATTGCAATGCCAAGATTGGCCAAGGTCAATAAAGATGGAAAGATAAGGAGGAGATCGGTGTGCTGGTAACTTCCCTTAGGAATGCTCTGTTACATGCGACGCCATCCGCAGTCACTACGGCGCCCAGCCATGAAACATCGGGTTATATATCGGTCAGGAGTGTCACAGGACTCTTATATGGTTATTTAGGGGAAGGGCATTCACATATATTACTGACCTATTCATATACCTATTACCTACCTATGCATTTCATTTTACCAATACAGTATATACCGGAGTTTTTGGTAAAAAGGACAGAAATACAGCCAAGAAGGTATGTAAGGAGCATTCTTCCCACTGACCCCCAATGTAAGGAGCATTCCCCCCACTGACCCCCAATGTAAGGAGTGTTCTTCACACTGACCCCCAATGTAAGGAGCATTCTCCCCACTGACCCCCAATGTAAGGAGCATTCTTCCCACTGACCCCCAATGTAAGGAACATTCTTCCCACTGACCTCCAATGTAAGGAGCATTCTTCCCACTGACCCCCAATGTAAGGAACATTCTTCCCACTGACCTCCAATGTAAGGAGCATTCTTCCCACTGACCCCCAATGTAAGGAACATTCTTCCCACTGACCTCCAATGTAAGGAGCATTCTTCCCACTGACCCCCAATGTAAGGAACATTCTTCCCACTGACCTCCAATGTAAGGAGCATTCTTCCCACTGACCCCCAATGTAAGGAACATTCTTCCCACTGACCTCCAATGTAAGGAGCATTCTTCCCACTGACCCCCAATGTAAGGAACATTCTTCCCACTGACCTCCAATGTAAGGAGCATTCTTCCCACTGACCCCCAATGTAAGGAACATTCTTCCCACTGACCTCCAATGTAAGGAGCATTCTTCCCACTGACCCCCAATGTAAGGAACATTCTTCCCACTGACCTCCAATGTAAGGAGCATTCTTCCCACTGACCCCCAATGTAAGGAACATTCTTCCCACTGACCTCCAATGTAAGGAGCATTCTTCCCACTGACCCCCAATGTAAGGAACATTCTTCCCACTGACCTCCAATGTAAGGAGCATTCTTCCCACTGACCCCCAATGTAAGGAACATTCTTCCGACTGACCACCAATGTAAGGGACATTCTACCCACTGACCTCCAATGTAAGGGACATTCTTCTCACTGACCCCCAGTGGCTGTGGGTGTCTGTGGGGGGGGGAACTTATCAGAATCTGGAAGCCCCCTTAGATTAAGGGGGTCCACAGATGCTCAGTCCTCCCCCGTAAGTGAGTTCCCCTTGTTACTTACTGTATATACAATAAAACATAAAATACTAGATAAACACACAGACCCTGAGAAAAAGTCTGTTATTAACATTGTCCGCTGATGTAAATCCAACATCAACCACATTGTCAAGCAATCCTCCTAAAATATGATGAGTGATGCCCCAACGACCCAGGTACCCCCACGGCATAGTGATACTGCCACTAAATGAGTGAGCTCCAGGTGAAGCGGTTGGAGGTTCTCACGGGCAAACTGGCCAAATGTGGCCATTTAGTTTTCCCGCTCCGCAAACCTTATGAGCTAGAGTTAGGGTGTAACTCATCATTGACCAGAATACGAAGCTCCTCCCCAGATGAGACTAATAATTAAGTCTGGTTAATAGGAAAGATGTGAGCCTAAGATGGAGGCTTCATCCAACCCAAAGCTCTACAAGGCCTCCGGACTCCGGGACCCAGGAAAGGACTTTTTAGGATTCTGAGAAAAGGGTAAGCTTGTTTCAGGCACAAATCCGAGCGGAGCGCCTCACCATGGGGAGAAACCTAGAAGACACATAGACCACGTCCACAATCCTGCCAGCCAGCCAGCCAGTGCCTCAAGATATAATATATTGTAACAAGGACACTCGACTGCAGACCGCAGGTGCAAGTAAAATGCAGTTTTATTAAGGGAAAACGCCATACATCTCGTTCCATCCACAGGGTAGACCTCTCAAGACCTGCACAAGACAGCTTCCCTCGTGAGCCCTCACTCTGCTCTCTCAGCAGTGTGTCCCAGCGGTCCTAGGGTCACCGACCTTCCTGACCTCTCCCAGCCTTCCCTGGCTGTCCCGCACGCACCTGAGTCTGCTGTGGCTCTGTGCTTCCTGCACCCACACACCTCCAACACTACTCTCTGAACTCTGATCCAGACTCCTAATAAGTCCGCTCTCAACCACCTGATCCAGCTATACTGGTCATTGGTAACACCTGGCCCCAGGACTGGAGATCTCATCCCACCCAGAGCTCTAAGAGATCTCCAGAGCTTCAGATCCCACCTACATTTAGGAAAACCTGGAAGGACCTGAAAAGCCAGGCTCTTCCTTATAACATGTTTCACATTCTGGACCCTCTCAGCCCCTTTGGCTGAGTGTCCTGGGTGCCAATGTTGCCATACTACGCCGCGGCATTGCCATGCACTGCCACAATATATATATACATACATATATAAGAATACTGAGTGTTGCGTCACAAACAAACTACATTTATTGTATATTTCCTCCATCTATTTCATGTTGATCTGGATAACCTGAACCTCGTTCCTTATTATAGAAAGGCTCTGATTACAGGTTATACCTCGGAGGATTCTGGGAAATTCTGGGGCCATTGTGCACTCACCGTTAAGGATTAGAGGTTGAATAGCGTGTGACAAATCCAGGTGTCACCTCTCCAATGTTTAATAATTGTCATACAAAGAGGACGGATAATATAACAAGTTCTTTCAGGAAAACAATCTGATGATTTAACCGTTTGGTGATGAAATGAGGTTTTATGGAGTCGTCTAGTTGGCCAGTTTACTGACTTCATGAGTAATTGTTACAGAAGAAAGTATCGGGTGGGGTGGGGGAGGTAAACCTTCTTCCTCAGGGACTCCTAATCTGTTGGTTTCTAGGACCTTCCGCTCAGCTCAGGGATGTGAAGTAAGCTCTTCTGTCATTGTTATTGGCGGTTCAGAATATATAAGATAGAGATCTCGGACAGATTATGTAAATAACAAAGTAGAAAACAGTTGTCACATAAAGAGGGGAACTTCCCTGAAGGTCTCACATGATCTGGCGGAAAGCGACAAGCACAGAGCAGAAAGTATAGAGACTTGGGACAGGACCTTCGGTGAAGACCCTTTCATATAGGAGACCTTCACCAAGACCGCAGGAGGGCATCATGCTTCTTCCCATCATCATCACCACTCTCCTTCTTTTAGGTGAGTCCCAGTTTCCTCATGGAATATAAAACATGAAGCAGACAGAAGAGTGAATTCTATAATAAGGGAAGTCAGCGCCTCAGTGATAGAAAGAATCGGGTCATTTATTAACATGACGTTTGTGTAGAGGAGCCGAGTGTAAAGATGGGAGGCGAGGTCACATTCCTGGTGGGGTCAGACAACTTTTCCTTTTCATGATTGCACTGACAGTATTATTTTTAGGTCAATGTGTTTCCTCTTGTTTCCCCATTGAGAGTATTAATATTCTTTTATCTCATAGACTCATGGAGCCAAGGCACTCTAACCGCCCGGATACAGATGGATAACGTGCTCGGATCTGTAACTATAAATACAAACACATGGACTCTCAGGACGGATCTGTCTGGTACATGTGGATCTGTCAACATCTCCATACACAAGTTTCCGGTGATCTATGGAGCATCTCAGGATCCTTGTCACATTGACCACCTTGGTCAGTCTTGTTATGATCTCTCTATCAGTGGAATGACACAGGTGGCAATTGATCCAAACATCAGGTATGACACATGCTCCCTAGTTTTGAAGACCTGTGGTCGGCAGACATGTGTAAATCTGGAGACCGGCTCTCAAAGTGCTTGGAAAGCCATTGTCCAGTCTTTCATTATAGGACAAGTCTACTTCCTGCAGTCATCAAATCGGCAGCCAATCACAGCTGTGGTGGAGTTAGCACTGCTGGAAGGGATGGCTTACCTCAATGCCTCTCTCTTCTTCTCAGACACCTGCCAGGTAAATAATGGCCAGCTTTTAGGAAATGTCGAAGTTGGGCACCACCAAAAGCTTGCTAAGAGCCGCCTGGAGCTGACCACTGTTGGTGTGATGCCCTATCTTGTGATAAAACACCAGGAGAGATGGGCATGTGCAGAGGTGAGGTCCATACAGCCTAAGGCGGCTTCAGCAGAATTCGGCATGCAAGGTATTAATGGATCCTTTAGCTTCAGGCAAGAGTCACCCTTCCACCCCACTCAACTTTCCATAAACCTATGGAGGTTCCAGGGGGCTGCTGCCCAGTACAGAATCCACTCTCTACCTATCCTGGCTCGCAAACAGTCGGACCAGAACTTGTGTGATGAAGCAAACACAGGAGATCTCTGGAATCCTTTCTCAGTGGGAACAGCAACAGTTAGAAGCGGCCACAGTTCATGGCAGATTGGAGACTTGAGCGGGCGGCATGGCACTCTGCAGGGTCACGAGGGATTTAGCGCTGTCCTAACTGACTGGAATCTTCCACTTTATGGCAAAAATAGTGTTATTGGCCGTTCTGTCCTAATATCGAAAGCTAGTGGGGAACCGTGGGCGTGCAGCACCATAAATTTGGAAGGAGAAGTTGTTACCGCACTTGCATCTTTCCGTAAGGGCGTGGTGGGCAGGATAATGCTTCAACAGGCTCCAAGCGATCCCTACAATGACCTCACTGTGTACATTGAGCTCTCCCATGTCTCTGACAAGATTAGCAAAAACCATAACTGGCACATCCACCAATTTCCACTCTCGTCAGAGTCTGATACCTGTGCCAGTGCTGGAGGACACTTCAACCCGTACAATGTACCAATTGATGGGAACTACAGCCAGGAGTGCAAACCAAGCAACCCCCTGCGATGTGAGGCTGGAGACTATGCCGGAAAGCATGCCCCCATTACCCTTCTTGCCCCTTCTCCGGCTCGCTATTTATTTACTGACTCTTTAACTTCACTTACAGGACCAATGTCTATCATAGGGCGGTCAGTGGTCATACATGGACCTGAAGGGGTGTCTCCACGTGTGGCCTGTGCCAATATCCTTCTCCAGGCAGTCTCCGAAGGTAGAACCAGTCTTTGGCTTGGGTCTGGTAATGCCGGAGGAGAGTTGAAGGCCTCGCAGGTCTCTGATTTTATGCCTACAGTGATTGCCATCGATTTCCATGGACTGGAAGGCCTTGCTGGAGGCTTCCACATCCATGAGCTTCCAGTGACTGAAGAGTCCGGCAGCCCGTGTTCATTTGAGCAGATTCAAGGTCACTTCAACCCCTTCAATGTAAATATTTCCAGCTCTCCAGCAGCCGGTAATGGAACCGATGATGAATATGAGGTGGGAGACATCAGTGGGAGGCATGGCTCCTTACTAAGCCTGGACCATCAGACCGGACAATTCAAAGACACCAACTTTCCTCTGTCTGGTCCACTCAGCGTGCTCGGCCGGTCTTTGGTCATTCACTATGTCAATGGGTCCAGGTAAGTGAACTCACAACCACAAACTACTCACCATTGTGGGAGGGGCAGAGACACAAACTACTGGAGGAAATCTCACCATTGTGGGAGGGGCAGAGACACAAACTACTGGAGGAAATCTCACCATTGTGGGAGGGGCAGAGACACAAACTACTGGAGGGAATCTCACCATTGTGGGAGGGGCAGAGACACAAACTACTGGGGGAACTCTCACCATTGTGGGAGGGTCAGAGACACAAACTACTGGAGGAAATCTCACCATTGTGGGAGGGGCAGTGACACAAACTACTGGGAGGAAATCTCACCATTGTGGGAGGGGCAGAGACACAAACTACTGGGGGGAGAAACTCACCACTGTGGGAGGGGCAGAGACACAAACTACTGGAGGAAATCTCACCATTGTGGGAGGGGCAGAGACACAAACTACTGGAGGAAATCTCACCATTGTGGGAGGGGCAGAGACACAAACTACAGGGGGAAATGTTGCCATTGTGGGAGGGGCAGAGGCACAAAGTTCTAGTAGGGGCAGATAGGCAGAGGCTAAAGCTGGCTATACGCTGTTAAAATTTCAGACGACTCTCGCTAAATCAAGAGAAATGTGATCTGTGGGTCGCCCTGCCGGCACCACCCGGCCTGACAAATGTTAACCTTTCAATCAACTTTTGTTAGAGGAGCCGGGTGAAAAATTGTCAGCCAAATTGTGACTGCAACCAATCAGCCATTCTGACAGTGGCAGAAATCTTTGCGTGTATGGCCGGCTTATGTCATTGAATGAAAAGAGCAAAGAAAATGGAAAATGATACCACAGGGTTTATCAGGAACGAAGGGACTCTTTTCTGACTTGCTTCCATCGGTAATATCTTCATTAACTGCCATTTTTCCCAGAATGCATTGTGCCACCTTCCAGCGCCAACAGTCGTCCGGTGGGGCGTGGGTGCGAGCCACAGCGGAATTTTCCGGAAACATCCGCGGAAGAATTTCCCTGGTGAGAAAACAATGTGCGACGCCAAAAATCGTTTATAGTGTTTCGGGTTTTTGAAATGTATCCGAACCCGCTAGCTGCGCCCCGATAATGACCCCGATAAAGGACTCGCTCCATCTGTATATGAAGATTTACATAACTCAGCCTATATGTGCAATAATTGGTGATGTAGGAGCGTCATAGACACACGGAAAGAATGTTCCATAGACAATGCTGTAGGAGAACTGTAGACAACGTTGTGGGTCATCTGGGAATATGCGAGCGCAGACCACTCTGATTGTTTGTGTGTATGGGTCAATGTGGTTCTATGCGAGCACTCCATAGACGGGGCTGTACGGTGATTATAAGGAATGCCGAGTCATGTGATCATTCTGTAGATAACATCGAGTTCTGAGTTGTTTGTATTCTCCGACAGAGTCAGATTGTGTATCCGAATGGAGGATCCAGCGACACCACCATCATGGTAGATCTGCAGCCAGTCTCCCCGGAGAAGGTAAAGGGCATTCTGTGTACAGAGATATAGAAAGTCTTGACTAATGTAACTCCCTCCTCATTGGCCGACCTCTACACAGGCTCCTCCCCCCTTCAGTCTATCATGAATGCAGCTGCTAGACTCATCCACCTAACCAACCGGTCGGTATCTGCAACTCCGCTCTGCCAATCCCTGCACTGGCCTCCATCCCCAGCCCCCCTCTGCCAATCCCTCCACTGGCTTGCATCCTCCACCCCCCCC